CGTATAAAGTTTGCTGAAAGAACTTTGGGCATAGCTTACAACTTATCTTAACCATAGACAGATTATTGTTTAAATGTGATGAAATGTTTTATGCATTTCCTAATGTGTAGTAATATTTACTGAGAAGTGGAGTTTTTTGTTCCTCAGCTGTTATTATACTTCTATTCAGACTTGTAGTTGTAATATTTAGAGAACTCTCCATTGCACAGGATGAGCTTTGAGATCTGCTGCAATGATTTTCTGGAAATGAGGGACTGTTTTGAGGCATATATGGACCTTTTTGGTGTTCTTTGTTTGCGGGTTTCGGCTCTTCTGATGATGCTTCATCCCCTCATTTTACATTTTTTAAATGGTCTGTGTTTATTGTTGTAACATTAAAATGGCTTTGTAGTTATTGTAAAATGAAAGTAATAATAAGAAGAATAATCTGTATTTGTATGTACTTGCCAATGCCAAAAGAGGGTTTTGATTCCAATTCTGCAAATTCTATAGGTAGAACTTAAGATGTACTCCTTTTTTCCTTGAATATTTTTCCACTTTTAACTTTTTTCGGTCAAAATTTTTAAACTTTGATCTCAAATTAAATAAAAATGATATTTGATATTGATACAAAAATAGTTTTATTAGATTTATTATATCAAATATTTTCTAAATATTATTTTATCTAATTAATATACAATATATAATTTATTTAGTTACAGGTCAAAGTTTGAAAACAATGGACTGAAAAAAGTTAGATTTGGATAAATACTCAAGGACGGAAGTAATATTTTTTAAATTCTACCCAAATTTTATTTTTAAATTCTACATAAATTTTCAAATAAAATGAAATGAAATTTTTTTTAGTCAGACATTGTAAGCTTAAACGAGCAATTTAATTTGGGACACGGGGGAGTATCGCATTACCCACCCCCTCCCTCTCCCCAGGCATGCAAACCGTTTAACAAAATGCACAAAGGTAAAAATTGTTTGGACAAGGCAATTTCAATAGACTTCACAATCTGAGTCTACAAGCTGATCTTTTCTAGAGATGCTAGACGCATGAACTAGATCATTTTGAACTTTGTCGTCTACTCCCTCCGTCCCAAATTATAATGCCTGTTTACTATTCAAAGGGTCAAATTTCACTCACTTTCTTTCTCTATTTTCGTTAGCAATTTGATAAAATAAAATATTCTTGTCACTACTAGTTTTGTAGATCTTTTGATGTAGTTTTTTAATATGTAATTTTTATTTTTTAATTCTATACCATTTGTCATATAAAATGGTTTGAAAATAATTTCAGTCAAACATCGTAAACCGAAACAGGCGTTATAAAATGGGACGGAGGTAGTACAATGTAAGAGTCCAAGACATGAAAATTAGCATTGAGACTAGATTCTTGTACGTAATAGATATGAGGCCATAAGAAGCCTAGCAGTGTAGCTCGAGTGATCAATGAAGAGTGTAAAAGAACATTGTAATCGAATTTGACTTCTTGCAAAGACTGTATAGGATGTTTATACTTGACATACAAAGTAAAAACCTTGTCCGGACTAGGGACAAAATTCACTCTATACTTGCTAGTTTAGATCTGATCTGATTTTTTAAAGATCTGATTTGATTTAATCTGGTTTGATCCGATTGGATTTGAATTTATTGTCGTTATATTTAAAGTTGTTTCTAATTTGATCTGTTCTCATCTGATCTGATTGTTTTTTTATTTGATTTTAATAACAACAAACAATAAGCTGAAAAAATAAATTGTATGGAACGGAGCCTTACCCTCTCTTTGGCAAAATAGGATTCATCTTTTTTTTTTTTTGTAATACTCTGCAAATAAAAGAGCTAAGTAGTGCACGGGAGCCATCATACTTGCCAAATGACATTTCGCTTTAGCATATGAACATGTAGCTGCATATTGATTGGCTCTTAAAAGAACAAGGCATTAGGCTGATGACGAATGTGGTGCCATTCTAGTACCAAAGATGTTTCGGTGAAAGCCCGTTAGTGATAATAATGGATTGATACACGTACTAATAGAGTTTAGGGGTGAGCAAGGACCGAACCGATCCCGATATTTCCCGAAAAAACCGAGAATACCGAACTGAAAAATACCGAACCGATAAAGTACCGAAAAGAAACCGAACCGTACCGAACCGAACGGTGGGTCCGGTATTTGGGAACGGTACGAGGTTACTTCCCATACCAAAATTCCCAAACCGAACATATATAATAATATATTATAAAAATAATAATCTTTTTATATTTCTTCATTAAATAAAAAATTTATAAAGACAATTTAGTTTAATTTCATTATGTTTAAGTTGTACTTTAATAAAGGTCCGTTTGGTATAAGGAATTGGTGAAATTGGAATTGAATTGGAATTGAATTGGAATTGTAATTCCATAAAATTGAATTCTATAAATTTCAATTCATTTTTTGCACTATCAATTCCAAATCTACATAATTTTTGTACTACCAAACACTAGAATTGGAATTGAAGTCTCCAATTCCAATTCCATAGTTTGAATTCCATGTACCAAACGGGGCCTAAGAATTTTTTATTTTGTGTAGATGAGTATAAGAATATTAACAAATATTTGTAATAATATTTTGTTATCACTCGTTCTCTTTAGTTTGTGAAATAAAAACTAACTTTCATAAGCATTTCTTGTAATTTATTTTTTCATTTTTAGATTTTTTATCTTTCTTTGGTTAAATGTACATTCAATTTTTCAAAAATAAAAGGTTTTGTTACATTTTATGATGTAAACTAGGTACGTATATATTCATCCCGATTCGTATCGAAACCGATACCGAACCATCCCGAACCATATCGAACCGATGCTTTGGGATCGGGATCGGTACAACGTAAAATCTCATACTGAACCGAAATATTTGGTACGGTATCGGTACGAGCTAAATACTGTACCATACCGTACCACGCTCACCCCTAATAGAGTTCATTGATAAACGAACGAAACCCGGGTGTGCTAAACCATCTATCATATCGTAGACCCGCCAAATAGAACCCGTTGGTCCGTGGGGGGGGGGGGGGGGGNGAGGCAATGGGTGATGAAGGATGTGGTGTCATGATGCAGGACACTACTTCGGCATCACTCATGCCAAGTTGAAAACTTTGACAAGCAAATAAAGAATGCACTTGCCTTTGTGGAAAAGAATACACTTATATAAGATATGTTGGTGATTTTAGTGTCATCGGTTATTTTGTATGACTGGATTTACTTAGACCAGACAAAAATTTGAATAGACGTTGTCAAACGAGCTAGGAGGTGCAGGAGTGCGCACTCGTTCAACCGTTTTACCAATTCATAACGGAGATCCGGGGGCGGCAGCCCCCGGTAGCAAGGTCCAAGGGGCGGAAGCCCCTGGCGGGGTCCAAGGGGAAGGGCCCCTGGCCGGGTGGAAATTTTTTATTTTGGACATTATTGCCTTATGAAAATCTTTCAGATTCAGACGTATGGATAAAATGTCAAAATTGACCCTAAGATCACAGAACACTCACTGCAAGACTTTCGTGTCTATCTATACGCGTAAATGTTCGCATCCTTACGCGAATCGTTCATGTCTAATCTCCAATTTTTGACTCTATAAAAAGAGTCTCGCTGGTATGGTTGAGGAACTAATTTCTAATAGGATGGGCTTAAATTTTAACAGGTTCAGTGTAGGCAATGAAGCAGCGCGCTCACTTGAGATGAGAAATGAGACAATGATAAGATACTCTCACTTCCAATGATAGAGTCATGGATGTTAGTGATGATGGACCACAGATAGAGAACTCTAAGCATCGAGGGTGTACAAACTTTGTATACTTTTCTTATCGCATCATCTTTTCCCTCCATATTAGGGGTGAAGAGATGACAGAAAGTATACTTATTATGTCTAAGACAGAATGGAAAATGCCCTAAACATAACCAAAATAATTAAACTTGCAAAAAGAATTTAAACAATTAAATATGTAAAAAACAAAGCAACTTAAACAATTAAACCTACTAAAAATGGAGGCTTATCATAACCAAAATGTTTAACTTTTTTCCTCATCTTGGAACTCTTGGTGGTAATTTAAATATTTCATTTTTTTATTCGATTCGGTTTTCACAGTCCAAAACGAAAAAAAAAAAGAACAGTTTGGAAACAGTTCGGTTTGGTTTTTTGCATTCGGTTATTATTCTTTCGGTTCGGTTTATTTTTTAGCACAATTCAATCAATTTTAGTTTTCCCGACCCACCCCTACTCCACATCGTAATAACATCAGATTCCATTAATTTTATACTTTTCATACTGTATACATGCACCAATTTACCAACTTAATACATCTACATTTAAATAAACAACCATTTTTAACTCATAATATAATTTAATTTTTACTAAATTTTAATTATTTATTTTCGTTAATAGCTACAGTAATTTTAAAAAAATATAAATTATAATACTTAATGAACACGATAACAACACGATAAGATTTCATTAACTTAAACAAAACTACAATACCACATAAAAGGAAACACCAATCTAAAAGAGCAAAACAATAATACTACATTGAACAAAATTCTAATCCAAAACAAAAAAAACGTATATACAACAATACTAGTACTAGAAAATAAGTTCGAAGTAAATTAAGATGATGATACTAAAAGTTGCATATAAAATGGATGTGAAAGGAATATGTTTCTTTATGTATAAAAGTTGTAATTATTAATTTAAAATAACTTTTTAAGTATTAACGGTGATATTACCGTCGTATAGAATAAAGAGAAGAGCGCACAGTATCATCAGCAATAAGATGGACTCACTTACCGAATCCTTTTAGTACCAAACAGTAAGGGGCGGTGTTACCGTCTTTGCCAAAATGCCACATAAGTTAATTTTGGTACAAAAATAACTTTACCCCGTCCATACCGTCCAAAACCTCTCACACCCACCTAATAAAGACATTATGCATAGAGAGAGCTCTAACAATTAATAGTTCATGACAGTTGAAAACAAAACATTGCTTCAGGGTACTAATTCTTTTTTCCTCATTAATGTCACCACACTGACACAAAGATACAGCGGTTGCATCATGTAATACTGTACTCCGCATATAAAGCCACAACATTCATGGAATGGTTTTCAAGATTAACAACAACAAAAAACACCCTAACAGAAGAAAAGATATGACAGCAGATGTAACCTCATCCTCACCAGATGGGGTCACTGCAACACAATGATTCCAGTGTGAATGCTATTCTCGAACTCATTTGGTAAAATTCAGGAAATGGTTAAACAATGAGTATGAGCCGGAGCTTGGAACACAAAAAATTAAGGACACGTTGAGAACCAGTGCATGTTGCGCTTGCTCGCCCTTCATCTTCTTGGAAGATGAGGCTTTATGGATTCCACGACGACCTGTTTATTAAGAAAGCAAAATGAAAAAATTTGTAATACACATTTTCGCACATTGGTATGACAATTAGTAAATTTTGCCACACCCACGTGACATATAGATAGATATGTAGTTAGAAAGATTGGACAGGCAGTTCAGAGAGATAGTTAGATTAGAATGGTTTAGAATGTTCAGCCCTTGTACATTCAACAAAAAGATGTGCCAATGCTGGGTCTAACAGAATGAGTGATCAATGTTCAAAAAAATGTTGCAGGAAAAAAGGACTATTATTAGGGTGTGGCTGCTATATCCACACCCCTTTTTTGGCTAAATCCACTCCATTTATGGTAAATGACCGATGCTAAAAAACAGTACAAAAGAGGGATAGTAAATATATGCCAACTTTTTAAGGGTAAAATTATCCATTTAACATAAATGAAGTGGATTAGCCAAAAGGGGTTTGGATATAGTCATACCCCCATAATCATTACTCCCTCCATTCCATATTTTATTTGTACGTTTTGCTTCCATTGTCAAACATTTGACCAACAATATCTCTTATATCCGTAGTATATTAGAAAAAATTATTAAAAAAAAATACAAGTATTATTCATTACAAATATTATGGTCTAAGTTTTATATTTAAATTCATTTTATGTTTTTGTATATTGTTGGTCAAAGTTTGACAAGCAAAAACAAAACTGGCAGTTAAAAGAGGGCAGAGGGAATATAGCTAGGTTATAATTATTCACTCCAACCCAACACCCCTGCAAATACGCATTTGTTTCCTACCGCTGTCCGATCAATTGTAAATGCACATTTAAAACTTTGCCTCTTTTTTTGCAAGAGGTTTAAGATAAAGCTCACAACTATTGACTACTCTAAATACAAACCCTTAGAGATGCTGATAATTATGAGTACTAATTAACTCCTTTTAACTTGATAATAAGAACTACCTATCCCAAAGAGTCATGCTAATGGGAATGGATGGAGTAATAAACTCATCATGTTGATGCTTATATAGGGGTATACACGTCCAATGCAAACGAGAAACAGTTTATGGCCTCGATATACTATATCATTTTTTCTAAGGCTCAATAGAAAAGATTATTGGTCATACCCTCCCATCATAAGACAAAGAGGCAAACATCCAGGGTTCTCGATAACTCCAAGCAAGACCTTAAAAATTAAGGTAGATATATCAGAGCAAGTTTGATCGCTGATATGATGAACTTAAGTACATATTATTGACATTACCATAGACACTATCTTCATAGTCACTGAATGAATTTAGTAATGGATCCACCTGACTAGTAGAGGACTCCAGGCTGAAAATGGAAAAGATATTGGGACACAATTACAACTAATGGAAACATTATAATCTGATCTATTATTATGCATGCAGGGTCAGGATAAATGAGCACAATCACCTCTCAGAAGTTAAGTCCGCACCACTAGCAGATGTCAGCCACAAATTGACAGCAGAGTCAGTTCCAGAACTCTACAAATGTTTTGACAGTATCAGCACTCCAAAAGAACAAAATGGTTATGTGAACAGAAGGCTTGGCACAAATTCTGAGGAAATCAGGAATTGTCATCTACACTTTCTGTTGCATGTTTACCTATTGTGCTTCTTAGTTAGGGATTTCATTGTCAATTAGGAGGATTTTTTCCGAACCAACTGTGAACAAGTCCACTTGTTGATAATAAAGAGCTTTTTTGGTACATTCAAGCATGGCTTGAAAATCATCAATATATTGCTCTCTGTGTCACAAATTTTGGATAAGCTCAGCCAATTCGCCTAAAGGCTAGAGGCAAACCGGAACAAAGAGCACAAACATATTTAAATGTACTGAATACATATATTATAATGATATCCCATTTGTGTACCATGATTGGGGTAAATTCTCCTTTTAAGTGTTAAGTGTGGTTGGTGTCAAAGAGATCAAATAGAGGTTTTGAGGGTGTGATGGAGAATGGTGTTGTACTGGTCGGGCTCCATAGCGAGCAGAACTTTCGTCATTTTGGAGAGGTCCAACATGGCTATCAATTCGATCATGGTTTGGACTATAGATATCAAATGTGGGGTGATGGGAGGAGAGAGAGAGAGAGAGAGAGAGCAAACCAGAATTAAGCCTTCATAATCAGGGTTGCATTTCACGTTCCACGTCCTGTAAACAAACAGATTATGCTTACAGCCTTACACAACTTGAAAATGGAGGTGGGGGGTGGTGAAAGTGGTTGTTGTTGACTTGTTGTGGTGGGCAAAGAGGGGAGATGAACTCTTGCAACTTAAGAAAGAGCATAGCCAACTAAAGAACTTCGATATGTGCAGAGTGCCTCTTGCACAAGGCAAGAACAACATACCAGTGAGCATGCCCAGGGAGCTCTAAGACCGGAAACTTTGTCATTCTAAGGTCCCATATGTGTATCCCAGATTCAGCTTCAGCTGTTACCTTCAAAACATAACACATATTAATTGCACCCAGCTCATGTTTGCAGGAAGCTGGGTAGTTTTTCCCTTCTGCAATTGAGAAATTGAATGTTTGGTGGCAGAAGCGAAAATATGACTATATGAGTATAACAAAAAAGCAGAAGTATATTGATAATAGTTGACATGTCATTTATTCTTTTGATTCGTACAAAGTATATTTATAATAAAAACACTAATACTGATACACGTGAACACATTGGAATATCACTGGTTACATAATGAGCTAAACCTACAGTTACGATGGAGTTCTGTTATGATTTTCCATATTCCAATAATCTTACTCTGCTGCTAATTTATAGAAAAAAACTTTACACTCCCATTTTGGCTCGTTAGGGTGAAGTGCAATAGGTGGGGGGAAGGTAGATCTATCAGCGAGAGAGAGAGAGATAGAGAGAGAGAGAGTGTGTGTGTGTGTGTTTGTTGAATCCAGTGGTAGCACAGTAGGCATTAGGTCACATGATTAAGTACTATGAAGGTACTTACTAGCATATACTTCTTTTTAGCATCATAGTCTACATTTTGGACATGAGCACGCTCAATTGAATTTGTTTTCCTGCAAGTGAAAGAGTTGTGGCACTATTTGTCAAGAACAATCTCTTCAATGTTTTGGTTTAGTTTCAAAGTTCCACTAAAATTAAAGGAGTTAGCATATGAAATAAAAGAAAATATGCACCAGTGATTATTGAAGGACTCGGAAAAATAAGCACACAATTAACATACTTCATCGCACGCAGATCCCAAAATTGAACTGATGCATCACATGTTAAAGCAAGCGCATTATAATCATGTGGATCCCAAGCTCCCCCAGATAAAGAGTGAAGCAAGCCAGCTGATTCTTGTGCTTGCACCTAAACTTGGCACCAACTGAATAACAATTAGGCCAAGACATCAGAACTAACAAGGATTCTATAAATATACAGATGTTCGGCAATTTAATCTTTTATGCTGAATTTTATATAATGGTTTGGGGTGGAAGGACACTCCACTTGTGCAGTTTTTTTGTTGATCATAGCCGATTCCAAGCCCTAATGGAAGAGGTCTTATGGTATGTTATCACTCACGCACAACCATGGTGGTGCTACATAATTACCAAGTTATAAACTAAGATTGCAATGGATGAACGGTGTAAAAAGATACATTATTGAGAGGTGCTTTATGGGCACATGATGCATAGGAGAAAACACCTGAAGATGTAGACATTGACAGATGATGTAAGGAGACTATATATTGGATCATATTGGGACTTCAGTGATATGGAATTAAGGTTCAATTGTTGTTGTTGTTGTTACTTTGGGTTGAGAGGTAATAAGTTTGGCAGGGTAGCATATCGTATGGTTCCTTAATGCAAACTACAGAAAATGAATGTTGAAAATCTATTTAAAAATATATTAGAAAATGAGAACATCAACATTTGAACATGATATTATCATAACAACACTGAAGAAAATGAACATACTTGGGCAGTCTTTTTTGATGCATCAAAGCTCCACAGAAAAACATTTTGTTCATCAATGGTAACCAACTTGTCATGCCTTCCAGTAGACCACCAAAGTGTGCTGCCAGTTGGTAGTGTCCAAATCAAATAAAGTATACAAAAGATTCCAAAGTTTGATGGATGTCTTTCTCAGCAATAATCGGAAAGCACGACACCTAGCATCTAAATTTTTTATTGGATCAGTAACTAATTTTATTGAGTCATTTTTACTGTAATCTGCATTTCCATTTTGTTCTGCTTAAGATAAGAAGAGATACAACATATTTCTGAATCATAAAGACAACAACTAAGAGTTTATCAACTCACCATCTAATCTTTGAATTGTGTGCATCAAGAGAAGCCATGCATTCCAGTTGTGGGGAATTTAGTTGCCCGTATAGCTCAGGCACCTGCCATATAGCTGCTCCATAAGTTTCTCCTGCAAACCCAAATCACAGTTCTATCAACCTGCATAACCATGCTAACAACCAACTGAATACCACTCTAGATTCATCACTACACTTATGATCAAACTTTATCAAGAAATAGTTACAGAAATTCAGATTCCAAACTTTTCAACTTGCTAATCAAAATTTCCAAAAACATGAGTACAGACTCTATTGTTGCCCCAACAAACGGAAATTATAATCTATTAGTAACATTGATCATTCTGCATTATCTCATTCCTATTAAGCATGTCCTGCTCACTAGATATTGATCTACACCACAGCTATAATGCAACATCACTTCACAGACAGAGACTTACTAATCCACCAATCGGTTCAAATTGAGCTCTAACATTTTTCTATTAGCTTACCACATGTGTCGTAAAACACATTATAATTTCTTAATCAGGCCATAGACTTAGATAACAAAAACGAAATGGCAGCCATTGCATTCTCAAGGAAATATAACACTAAAAAGAGAAATAGAATTTACTCCGTATATTTTACTTAATAGAATGAGGAGGAAATCATTGAGATACCTGATGAGAAAACAGTGGAGAAGATGCGTTGATCGAAGGGGCAAGAAGCAAGATCCCAGATCTCATTGGGATGAGAAAACAGGCCCTCGCAGATCAACTCTGTGCCGCCTGCAGACAGCCGAATCAGATGCACCTCGTTTTCTTCTTTCAGGCTAAGAGTTCCGGCGAGGAAACTGGTGTGATCTGTGTCCGCTTTCACGTCGGCGATGCATCTAGCCTTCGAAAAATGCGGGAAAAGAAACAAATTATAAAGAGAGAAATGGGAGTCGCCTGCCGGGAAAGAGAGAAATGGTAGTACCTGATACTTGAGGCCATAGCCGACGCCTGTTGATCCTCCTTGCATCTTGAAGCGGGATGGACTGGTCACAGAAACCACAGATCTACAGTCTCAACAACGAAAAAAAACTAGAAGGCTGTGAGCAAGAAGGTGTTTTGGCTCTGGCTGTGATGACGGTGCGGACCTAACCTTCTTGCTCGTGACCCAGGGTTGGGTACAGGAGGAGGCTTGCTCGAGTTGGATCTGGGTGGCGGTGGCGGACGAAGATGCGTCGTCTGGGCCTGCTCATACTCGGCCTTCCTGAGTAAGGCCGTCTGTAGCTCCAACGCTTGCTTGTACAGGTCGTTGATGTCGTTCTTAGACGCCGAAACCAGACCAGAGGACAAATCAGGGCGTAACCCCTCCCTGAAACGCTTGCACCGCTTCTCCATCGTCGGCACCAAATCCCGGCCAAACTCGGGTAGCTCATCAAACTTCTGCCGGTACTCTGGTAGCGTAAGTTCACCCTGGGTGAACTTCATGAACTCATCGTGCTTCTTCTCCATGAAGTGCTCGGGCACGTACTCCTCACGAAAGAGCTCGTCGAAGATTGCCCACGGCACCGGCTCCGGGACGTTCGCTCTCGCGCGCTTCCACCAGTCGTAGGCAACATCCTGAAGTAAGGCGATGGCTAAGTCGCCTCTCTGCTCCGCCGGAACCCGTAGGGTTCCGAGTACTCAACTTACGTGCTCGAGCCAGCGCTTCGCAACCATGGGTTCAGCGATCTGGTCACCACGGAACTCCTCGGCTTCGTTCTTCTTCAGCTTCTCTATTGTGACCACAACCACCGGAGGCGGCGGTGGTATGTACGCCCCATCCATCTGATGGAGAAACTGGAGCATGTTGGCCGCCAGCTGCGGCTGCAGAAAAGGAACCGCCTGTGGTAGAGCGTTCAGTTGTGGAACCTGCGGCTCCGGAACCTCCTGTTGTGGCGTGAAGCTCGATGCCTCGGTATGCATGCTCACGAACTCTGGTTCTCCCTGAGGACCAACCTGCCCATGCTCGGGAGCCTGACTCATCTCCTTTCTGTAAGGAGATTTTCTATATGGGTTAAGAAATACAAACAACTACAATGATAATGGTTACCTTTCCCGGTGGAGATACGAAACGGGATGCGACAGTGGATTCTGAAGGGAAAATGTTTTCTAAAATGGGTTTCAAAAATCATTTTCAGAACCGTAATTCTCTGATACCAAAATGTAACACCCTCCGTCCCGCGAACCCGGTTCACTACGGCCCAACGAGCCGGAGAGGTTACGTAGACGATTTTAAGGCCGTCTACAAGGAAAACCCTTATGTTGCTTATAACTGAAAACCCCTTGATATACTTTATTAATTGATGAAAATAAATCCAATTGAAGGAAATGAAGCATAGCAGGAGAAAATGTAAATAATAAACGTTAAGTCTTAAATAAAGAAGTACGACAACGAGGGGTTCAAGCCCAAAACGAGTTTTAGGTAATCATTGGTAAAAAGTCGGGTCTACACTGTCGTTCATCCGCTGCCCCAATCACCCAATCATCTAGGTCAGGCTCCATGATCCTCTCGCCTACCTGCGTATAGCAAAGGGAAACAACGCTATACGCTCAGCAAAAGCTGAGTGGTAATCTAACAGTAGAACACATAATATATTCACATGGATATATACATAATCGTACATGTACTAAAGTACGAGATACCACATACGAGTTTGATAAACAAGATGAATAATGATAACCGTTACAAAATATAGAATAACGCAATGCCAAATAATTCATGATGCATGAGTTAGACTATGCAGGGACACCCCCTGCCCTTCGGTGATCACCCCCACGCGGTAGATGAGCCGAGGAACGCCTTAGCCATCCCGATGGAGACTAGAATGTGGGTGATAGCTAAGCCTAGCTACCATGTACATACACAAGCCCTTCGTGATGAAAACCCGTTGGATCCCGCAGGTTCTTGGACGGGCCCGCGAAAGAGGCGCACTGGGCCTGACCTCTTGTCGCAGTATGCAAGTATGCCATGATCCTAACCACGCGTCTAGGACATACATGATGATATGAATGCATTGATTTCAGAATGAAGTTGAGTTCAACGCATACATAGATGTTTGATTCCGTATGAATTGAATACAATTTGTTTAACATGGTGACTTTGGGTTCAAAACTGACTGATAATCGATTATCCATTGCTGATAATCGATTATCATGTTGTGCAGCTTCTGTTCTCAAAGTCCCGCAAGGCATGATAATCGATTGTCAGATGGTTTTGTCCAAGAAACCCAAGTTCATAGAGGCCTGATAATCGATTATTGCTTTTGTGATAATCGAGTATCATATGAACCAGCTCTGGCTCATGAATCCGCAGGGCCTGATAATCGATTATCACCCTTGTGATAATCGATTGTCATACCTTGCTTATTCAGCGAAAAGTCCAGCGTAGCCTGTTAATCGATTATCATGACATGTAAATCGATTATCATGGCTCGCAGGTTCTCGTTTTGTCTGTTTGATTACAATCAAGACGTTGGTAGTTTTATAAATGAACGTTTACGTTTCCAGGTTAAATGATCGATAAACTTGCAAGGTTTCAAACGATTATATTATCAATTGCACAATCGAAGGGTCTAACTAACGAAGAGTCATGATAATGTGGATACACGTGGATTTAGCCGGTAATCCTATGAATATAACGATATGATGATACTATGAAATCTAAAGTTAGAGGGCAACGTACTCACCTCTAAATGTAGGGGTTGATGAAACAAAAGACGGATGGACGAATGACTAACGAACGGACAACGAACGAACGAACAACTTCTCGCGTGTGGAGAGGATGAGAGTGTGGAGATTGATGGGGGTTACAATGGTGGGGAAACTGAAGAGGAGAGGGAGGATTATATTAAAGGGAATTAAGGGGGAGTTAATTGGGAAATGATGAAGCATTTAAGTGGGCAAATGTATGTGTGTGGCGTGGAAGAGAATTGAATGGGGAGTTATCTCCCTAAATTTTATTCAGTTATGTAACATCTGACCTCAACGATACGCGCTCCCCCCCGAACGGGTCCAAATTGAGATCCATTTGCGTTTCTGGAATCAGATAGTCAAGACGAGCGTTATGACGTGATCAAATAATTTTTCTAAGGATTCTATTTTTCCGCCTCTGGTCCGAGTTAGTAATTAATTAATTTAATTATTCAATTCTGATAGACCGGGTCGTAGGGCGTTACAATTATTCTTTGGCTCATCTGCAAGAACAGAATCCAAACCAAGGTAAGGCTGAGCAAATTCCCCCTTATTGATAATCTGTGTCTTCTCTGCCTGAATGGTGTTGAGGACAGCCAACATCTATTATGCACCTGTCTTTATGCTAAGGAAATATACATGAAGGTCTATAGCTGGTGCTCCTACAAGTTTGAGGATGAAAACTCAGAGGGGATGATTACAAAGATTTAAAATATCACTCCCATGAAGAGAAGAAAAAAGATCATAGCCATCTTTGCAGCATGCTCATACTGCATATGGAGAAGTAGGAATCAGAAGCTGCACAAGAATATTGTTGTCTCTACAGGCATTTCACTGGATAAAGGGTCATGTTAGCAGCTTCCTGCGATCAACACAGATAGACGTAGACTAAGATGGATACTTGGGTGTACTGTATTACCTTTTACTGAAGTTTTGATTATGATGCAGTAGGCTTGGAAAGGATTACTTTTGTATCTGTCTTTGTATATTGGAAGATGAATAAAATCTCTGCTTTTGGTTAAACATCTGGGCCATTTACTGTAGCTTTGGACTGATTTTTTTTTGGATTTTGCTAAAATTTTGGGCCTATTTGATAATTTCCTAGAAAAAGTGTAATACACATTAAACCTGTTTGCTAAAAACTATAATAATAGGTTCAATATTCAAACCTGTTTTTTTAAATTCTACTTAGTATAATTATTAATAAAATCCATGAATATACAATAAAATATATAAAGCAAAAGTCTGTTTTTAAAACAATATCAAAAATTCAGATTTAACCTATTTAAAATTATTAACCTTTAGTTTATTTTTATTGTTACTATTGTTATTTTTCCTACTACTATAAATATTGTAAAACTATTATCAACAAGCAGTTTCTATACAGAATATAGGAAAAACAAAAAAATCACCACCCACTGCCCCACGCATGCTGCCCTATACACAGCAGTAACTATCATTTTGAATTTTAGAAAAAAATCATCCTACTTGCATACCCACTGCCCATGTTTTGTGGTGTGGAACTCCCTCACTTTCCACATCTGTCTTGTAACCTTGCCTTATAAAAGCAGCAGCACACACCACTTCTCCTCACAATTTCACTTCTCATTCACCTTTCATAGCCCTGCAAAAAAACAAAAAACAATGTCAGATGCATCGAGTGGAAGGGGTGGTCTATGGTCTTATTTAAAAGATTTAGTCGACCGTAAAAATGAGTGGCAATACGAGTTCAAGTTGTTCATGTTTATGATTCGCCCTCCCGTGATGGAAGGCCAAATACAATGGAAATTATTTTTTATGACTCAGAGGCAATCATTTGGCATTCGTCATACAATATATATTCCGCCAAATTTGCAAGTAATTTCAGGCTAAACTGCTTCATTTTCTTTGCAAAAGGGAACAAGGACTCACGCCCATGTTAAGAGGCCTGAAATAGAATACTTGTGCATTACGCAATTTCTTAGTTCAAAATAACTACCACACTTTTAAGATAACCGACCACCTATATATTTTAATTTTCTATAGAGACACACTATAGAAAGACATCAATTCATATCAATTTCTAACTTTCATGTACAAGTTCTGTCTTTTTGAAAAGTTATTGGAACCTATGAGTCAGAACATGCTTGCTGGTAAGATTGCACATCTGAAATTTTTGTTATTTAATTTTTGATAATGTGTGACTTAGTTATTACCGTTTTATAGATGTCATAGAAAAAGTAATTGAAAGGACATGTATCCAAAGTCGAATGGCTCGAGGGTGTCCTCAAAGATATATGGAGTTGACTTTGGAATATGCAAGGTTATGTTATTTCCTAATAAAATATACATTTTCCTTTATTTTATTTCTAATATAACACTATCTATCTTTGGTTTTATAGAGGACAACGCCTTCGCTGCATACTCTGGGGAGACTACATTGAGAAGTTCAATGAATCAGCTGATGGAGGGATAACAAATCCCATTCTCATAGTGCAGTTTGCCCGGCTGAAGAAATTCATGAGTACATACCTGACACTCTATTCATATAACCAACTGTGTTCACTTGATTATACATTTTTAAAACAATTTTACGTTTGCAGAAGAAGTGTCTATCGCATCATCATTCCATGTTACTAAGATTCTCCTAGACAATGGCTTTGAAGAGGCAAAAGAATTTTTGAAGACTTTTATGACTAGGATGAGGATAGCAGATCTTCAAGTACTTTCACACTCACACAGAGTAGTGAAGTGATAGAAGATACAAGTGTAAATTTAAAAATTTCAAGTATCAAGAACCTGCTTATTGAAACTGATGTTAGCCTTAACTCTTTTTCAAAATTATTCTTAATTGGTCTAAGTACTACATGTGGTGTGTTGATTAATCTTGATTACAAGATGGTTATTTATGGGTCATGGTTGACATAGTGTCTATTGAAAACTACAAAGACTGGTATTATTTGGGTTGCAATAACAAAAATGTAACCGAAAGGTTAAAAGAGAAGGAGATGGTTTTCGGTGTGCACAGTGTGCAAATACAATGTCATTCGGGGAATACAAGTATGGTAATTTACCTAAATATGACTAAAACATAAGGACTTTCTCAATATAGGACCATATGTTTTTATTTTTCAATGTAAGATTATTGGTCATTATGTATTAGTCATTATTAACCTAAATGTCCAGCATCACTCGGGATTATTCTTCTCACTAGACATTATTAAGTCCTATTTAGGAAATAAAAAGTTTAAGTCCTACATTGGGAAATGACTTATGTTTTAGTCCTATTCAAAGCAAATTTCACATATAAGTAAGTGTGTTCATTTAAAAAATTCAACAATCTAAGTTTAAAAAATCGTTTATACTGAAACTAATCGGCATGGGAACACAAGTCTAAAAAATATGCTTAAATTTTACTTAGGTGCAAAGTTACAGTCAATTTGAAGGATGTATCAAGTCATGCAACCTTCATTCTGTGGGATCGGGAGTGCAAAGACATTATGGGTATCCCTGCTTCAAAAATGAGAGATATTCTGATCGAGGTAAACCTTTAATATATTTATTTGTAGTTAACAAAACACATTGCTATTTCAAGAGCAAATGAGACAGTTTTTCTTATGCACCTAAGAAATGATACTTGATTTCCGCAGCGAAAGGGGGATGCGGTGAGTTTCTGAACGGGTAACATGTAAATTATTATTACCCAAATCAAACGAATACAAAATGTCAACAGCTTAACCACAAGGTGGTTACTTGCTTAAGTTACAGGTATACATAAAAGAAATTACAACTCAAGTGTAACACATACAAATACAAAACACTAACAAATACAAGTACAATCCAACCAAGACCAAGATTAGGAGGTTGTCTTACCACGAGACAAACATCTCCATTACATCAATCACAATTTGAAACAGGTGTACACCGGCAACAATCTGGAAAAGGTGCACTGACTAGGCAAAGACCATTCCATTCCACTTGCAAAACCAGGCCGAGTTCATTTTCCAAAAGCTTCCAGCAAGAGTAGACAAGAAGCATCATGCCCTAATCACATTGCAGACATATAATCATGTACAGCATCACATATATACTCAAAGCACACAGCGGTGAGTTTCTGAAGGAATTATAGAAAGAGGTGCTTTCCAAGAGTGGATTGTTTAAAATTGTTTTGCAAAACTCCTCATACTATACGAGGTACCAGGGGCCAAGAACTTTTGGAGTGCTGACAATGGCAACAGACCCGAAGACAATTGCTCAGTACAAACCAGCGGTAGTGGATAAAAAAGAGATGGACGGATGGATTGGTTACGAATTTTTAGATCTCAACAATGAAAAGGTACTGATCCACCATTCATTAACTATGTAATTTGTTGGAGAAGGAATGTAATTTCTAAAATAAAGATGCTTAATGTGCATCAGATTGGCTGTAATGAGGAAGGAAACAAAATGAAGGATAAAGGAAAGCAGATATCTATGGAACTCGGTAAAGAAGATGAAGAGAGCTCAAGGATACCCATTCGTACATTTTTACCCGATTAGCCATTGGCCCCCAGCAAGCACCACATGGCTTAAACTCTTAATTCCTAATACTTTTTCCAGTCCTAGAGTTCTTCTAGGTAGCCTCACCTCAGCTTGTATTGTTGGACCAACACCTAGTAACTTGTATTTTCACGTGTTGGATAAGCCCGCTTTTACCATTGGATTCAAGGTTGGATCAACCCATAACATTAACAATTCAAAAATGTGTTGGATCAACACATACACACAAACACATAGCGGCCTAGTGTAAGGTGTGAACACCCATACTTACCGTCATACTAGTCCAGAGTACATCCTTGACGTTTCAAACAAAAACCAAAACTGAACAGCAGGGCCTCTGACAGTAGTGGTAGCGACCTACCTTCCAGTAGCGGTAGTGCAAAATCTTATTTTGAGATAAAAAACATGGAATTTCTAGTAGGGTGGTTTATTCAAAAATAAACTGTAGAATAGAATCAAAGCTTAACATCTCACCTTAATACATGGTAGAGTAATGCTGAGCTCTCTTCGACTGATTTGAACTAAGTTTTTTAAGGCTAGTTAAATCTCATTTGATCGAATCTGGTCTGATATGAATTGACTTGATCTGATCTGAATGAATCTGATTCGAATTCAAATTCAAATAATAATAATTATTATTTAAATTTGAATTCAAATAATAATAATAATATGAATTTGAATTCGAGTTCACATAATAGTATTAGTAATAGTAATAATAATAATACTAATAATATTTATTTGAATTTGAATTCAAATTATTATTATTTGAATTTGAATTCAAATTATTATTATTTGAATTCAAATTATTATTATTATTTTGACATTATTTATTTTTTAATATTTTTTTGATTTGATCTTAATGGATTTGACATGATTAAATCTGAATAAATCTGTTCTGATCTGAATGGATCTAATCTGATTACAATAAGAATAAGTAATAAATAGAATAAATTAGTTGAAGAGAATGGGGTGTAAATTTAAAAGATTTTTAATATCCAATATATATACTTTTAATACTTTTTTAAACTTATGAAAGTTAGATCGAATAAAGTAGTTTAAGACGAGCAATTATATGTCATGCATGTTTAATGTGGAGAACTTAACTCCACATTTAGTTTCCTTTATAAAAATTTTATATACAAGTATCGTATTTTATATTTTAGAACAAATTATTTATCGTACAACACACGATCACATACATTGGTTATGCCTTTTTAAGAGCTAACTCATACTCTTTTGCTCAAATATATTACACTCGCTTGAGAAAGTAAGTTTTAGAATGCAACTCTTTCAAACAGAGTGGTTGTGTGTTAGATTAATTTATAAAACTCGTTACTAATTTATGTTAACTATGCATTTACTTCTATTTCGTTCATTATTGGAAAATGAGGATTAAAAATTGAAAAAATTAGATTTGAACACCATTCAAATGAAATTAGAATGGGGATTGAAATTCAAATGCTTGGAATTAAAATTAAATGTCACCTGTTATTCGTGCAAAGCTTGGAATCAGACCCTTCGAAGAAAACTTGGGATTGACCGATGCAATTCATGGCACCATGCCTCGATTTGTTGCCTTCCGCTCATTGTGATGGACGGAATCTACTTAGGATTTAGAAGAAGATGACGTAGAGGAAAAGAAGCGAGAGGGGACAGGAAGAAGAAGAAGGACAAGAAGAAGAAGAAATAGAAGAAGCAAGAAGGGAAGAATACATGATCGAACTACGAAGAAAAGAAGCTAGACACGAAGTAGAAAACGTCTTCTGGGAAAAAAACTGGAAGTTACAATCCGTAAAAATGGACTCATTTTCATTTGATTTGCATTTTCCACTATTGCCAAACAATGGAAAATGGGAAAAATGACTTCGAGAAGTCACCTTCCCCTTTTCAAACGGACCCTTATTGTACAAAAGTATTATTTTTATATTTTGGAACAAATTACTTGCCGTGCAGCACACGATTATGAATCTGTTTAAAAGAAAGGGAGAAAGACCAAAGTAGGACTAAAACATTGAAATTATACCAAAATAGGACTTCAATGTTTTTATTCCCGAAATAGGACTTACATTACCAAACATGGTCATATACATTACCAAAAAAGTATAGTAATTTGCATATGTATACTGCCACATTACCACAATGCAAAGTCACATTATCACAGTGCAAAGTCCTATTCTGGGAAAAAACATGAAAGTCCTATTTTGATACTTTTTTCTATGTTTTAGTCTTATTTATGATGATTTCTATAAAAGAAAATACATACTCCCTCCGTTTCAAAATGTTTATCACATTTCGAACAATGAGCAAATTTTTACATTTATTTTAAAATTATTTTATTTACAAACTGGTATGAAATAAAACGTACAAATTACACCATTCAAAAGTATATCGAAAATTTTACAAATTAAGATATAATAAAAATATTTTATGTTATCAAATTATCACCAAAAATAAATAAATAAACAGAAGTTATCTAAAAACTGATATAATAATTGTGACATTCTTTTTGGGACTGTTTGGGACGGAGAAAGTAGTTAATATTCTAAAGAATGACAATTTTCTGAAGTAGAAATCACTCTAAATAGAACTAAAACATAGAGAAATATACCAAAATAGGACTTTCATATTTTTTTTTCCAATAGAATTTTGCATGTTTCTTCTGCAAAACATAATTTGGGCAAACGACCTAGAAGGCCAGTGGGAGGAAGGGAGGAGAAATCCTGAAGTCTAATGTAGCGCTTATCATCTGATAATGGCGGAAGAAGACGACGATAGCTTCGGAGATTTCTCTTTCGCATATTATCCTTCCAAACCTACCATCGATTTCCAAATCAATGCCCAAAAACACAGCGATTTAGAGGACGATGAGTGGAATGATTTTGTTGAGTATCCACGAGGATCGGATTCCCCAAATAGATCCTCCCAACAAGACGGCTTCGACCAGTTGGCACTCTTCCCTACTCACGAGTTTCAGAATCCAGCGACCTGCCAAATGAAATCTCCTGAGACTGCTCACTGGGTGAAGCCCAGAGGCGCTTTGCCACTTTCATTGTTTGGAGAAGAAGAGGACGATGAGAAACATGAGATGGGAGGGGAATCTGCTCATATGGAAGCTCAATTTGCAGCAGGAGAAACTAACCTACTGAGCAGTGTATCCAACCCTGGGTCTAGTATTGGGCTGAACGATATTCTTGCGAGCTTACCAAATCAAACATCAAAGCTCCAACCGGGAAGACCCTCTTCAAATCCTAGCAATTCTGGTAATCAGAACTTCAGCTTGGATCTGAGTAAGTTGGATTTTAATTGGGGTTCGACTGCTGGGAATAAAGACCCATGTCAGGTGCATAATATGGATTTGAACTTAATTAGGACAGAATCAATATCGAAAGCAGTTGAACAACCTTCTTCAGAATGCATTAGGGATTTTAGTAATTTTAGTTGGGAGCAGACTGGGTCTCGTTCAAATTTGAGTGTTGATGTTATAGACTTGGGTGAGCAGATAAAGAATGAAGGTGCAGTGGATGGCGTGAATAGAAGCACTTTCAGCTCAGACACAACTGCATCAAGTTATAGTGGCTGGGGATTAGACTTTGGCGGATTTGGATCATCTTCTAAAACTTGGAATTCAAGTTTTAGTGGGTTGAACTCGAATTTGGATGCTACAGGTGCATGCGAAAAGTCAGATGCTAAAAATACTGATGGTGATTGTGATAATGATGATGTATGGGAGTTCAAGGATGCATTTACTGATGAAAGGGATGTAGGTGCAAACAATAAGGTATAGGCTTGATGTGCGAATTTCTTAATGATTCTGTCTGTGTTCCTTGGATCATCTATATCAATATAAAAAAGAATATTGAATATGATTCCAACATTTTCTAAATATAATTAAGAACAATGTCATACTTGGTCCGTCCCTGAGTGTTTGTCCACTTTTGACTTTTGGAACTGTTCATCTAAGCACTTTGACTTATCAAATTCTATCAATGTGTAAGCCTAAATATAGTCATGTGTGATCTTGTTTGATTCGTCTTAACATATAAATTATTAATATATAATTTTTATAATTTTTTAATATACAAATTACAAGATAAAATGGATTAAAGAAGTGCATTGGATGGTGTGCAAAAATGAAAGTGGACAAACACTCGGGGACGGAGGGAGTATTATATTATATGGAGTAATATAATTAAGATATTGCAATAACAACAGAAATAATGGTTCAGTCCTGAGCATCTGATTCGGAGTGATCTGAGCTTATCTTGGTAGTGTTAGGAAGTTAATGTTAGATTGCCTTGTTTGGTTTGGGGTAATTTGAGATTACCTTGTCTGGTCCGGCTTGGCCGGCTTATCTCTAGGAGTGCTTTGGCTTTTTTCATTAACGACCAAGTCGAAACTAGAGATATCATCTGTATGAAATGTTTTAGCTTGTTTCTAGAAAGAAAATCAAGTCTTTAAAGGGGAAAAGCACGGGTACCAACTCTTAGAGAGAAATTTCCTTAACAAATTACCAAAGGAACTTCTGAAAATGAACATGAACCAGAGAAAATTGCTTCAAAGAGGACTCAAAGTTGATGTTTTTCCCTAAATTAGACTCATTGTTATACTCGAGCCTGGCCCATGAAACTCTCACTCACGTCCCACACTAACATGAGAGTCCAAGGACTAATGTTCAAGTTTTATGATCCATTTTAACTTGAATTAAAAGGTCCTTAAACCCGAAAGGCCAAAACGACCTTCGTTTTGATCCAAGGGTTCCCCTGGTCATCCCCAAACACCAAAACCCAATCCCTCAACATCCAAAATAGTTTGTGTCTCAAAAATAAAGTCTCCCCCATCTTCTCAAGCCTTAGGCCAAAAATGACAGAGAGATAAAACCCAAAACTTCAGTTTGTTGTTTTCCTTCTTTAAAAGCCTTTATTATATCAAATAAAGTGTTTCCCTTCATTCCCAATCACAAGGCCGAAATTCCCACCTTTTTTTCTTCCCAAAATCAGGCCTAAATCACCACACACAACAAAGGGACAAAAATCAGCAAAAGGTCTTTGATTGAATAGTAACTTCTTGTCCTATTATTCACTAAAAGTCAGGCCATGTTGTTTCCTTTTCCTTGCACCCATATGGCTGAAATATACTACCTAAAACAAGCCAAAGAACACCTTATCATGTTCATATAATAACCCTTTGACTTGTTTCACATAGGGCCGAATTCCCATCCAAATAAAGCCAAAAGAAATCCACTCAAATCCCTTATTTGATGAAGAATTAAACTCAATTGGAAGGTAGTGAAATAATGACACGCATGTGTAAGGTTGAAGGAAGTTTCCTTGTTGCATTTGTTTTCATTTGCTGTTGTATTTCCCAGTATTTCCCTTCCCCTTGCTTTGTATATAATTCGGCCATGAGACCATTGTAAAGGCAGATTTGTTGCATGAAAACTTTGTTTACTCTTTTGAGTATTCTCTTAAAATAGTGTGATACTATTTTAGCCCAAATTCCTAATTCTATATCTTAAGTGTGGTTCTCTTAAGTGTGAGTTTTAGGTTCTAGTTATTTAATTGAGTGTGTAATATCTTGATTAAATACTAGAGTTTAACCCCAAGTTAATCTAGAGGTGAGTTTATCCTTTAGTATTAATTTGGCTCCAAATTAAGATAAGAGTGTGTTTATCTCTTATTCCTAATTTGGAATTTATCCCATCATTTCTAAATCCACCTTTCTCTCCTGATTTTCCACTCTTCTTCATAATACTAAAAACCCAAAAAGAACTCCTGCCACATCTCCATAATTTCGTCCAACCCATTTCCCCTTTCATTTCTCCACAAATCCTTCATAAAATACCAACTTGATAAGACCCCCGCTTCACCCCTAACACTCATGCACTTTATTTACATCAATAGTACTAAATTTAGTTTTAATCTGCCAAAAGTAACCCTCAAATTAGGAGGAGGAAACTTCATTTAATTTATAAAAGGTTAAAGTTATCTTTTTTCCCACTAAAGTCTTGACCGGCTAGTACTTGTACTAGTTAAGGAAAATGCATTAGTTTATGTCCTATATGCGTATTTTCCTCTATGAACAAAGGGTTTGGAGAAGATCAGATGCTCGATTGAGCATCTACTCTTCTCCCAAGCACCTTGCTTATACTAAGAAGTTCCCTCTGTTAGACACTCTCCTACACTTTGCCTCCTCAAATATATTTCAGTTGACTCATGCTCAAGCTTGAAACTTTTGGCAACCAATGAATCTCCCACAGTAATAACAAGATTATCTGAAATATTTAGAACAAAAGTATCTTAAATTGATGTTTTTCTGATGTTTGGGAAATAAAGGTAATAGGTATAAACTGGAATAAAATAAAAGTTTTGGAAAACGATAAACAGTGCACTGTAACTTCCATGGAGGTATAGAAATTTTTGCATGTTAGTCGTGGAGTAGGAGCAGAGCTCTGGTGGCACATGTTCCTTTGCCAGAGAATCTGATCTGGAGTAGTGGTCGGACCAAGAATTCACACTTAAGGTACTGTTCATCCAAGGCAATCAGATCTATTGTTTAAGTTATTGAATGAGCTCTAATACTATATTGAAAAACAGATACTCGGGTATAACGGAACAAAATAATAGAACACAATATAAATGCTTAAGAGACACACATACATTAGACACTTAGCATAGAGAATATTAGATGCATGAAGTAGGAGTAAAAGATAGTGAACTAACATCATGTGCTCAAACCATGTGTGCCATGATACCCTATGCTAAAAGTCTAAATCTCTGTGTGCAGTTTGCTACACAATGCTAATTAACATTGATAGTTCAAATCTTTATTGCAAATTTGGCTGTGCAATTTGTTACGATAAAATGAAGAATACACACATTTCTCCTATATTCTGTTTAATTCACATCTCATTTATATCATGTCATTAGAATTATGTCGGGAGTGTATATTTCTATTTTCTTAATGGTTCTGATGTACAAACATCTTTGCTTTATCATCTTGATCTTCCTACTAGAAATATGTGTTCAACTCTATGCAGCAACAACAACAACTAAGCCTTATCCCAAGTAACTTGGGACCGGTTACATGAACCCAGAGGAGAATCACGGTTGTTCATAAATAAAAATGTTCTACCCATTTCTTTCTATCCACAACTACTCTCTTGTCCAAATCCAGACTAGAAAATCACCCCAATTCCTAAACACATCCTCCTATGTCTTCTTTCTATGAAGCACGTTAAAAAAATATAAATGAAATTTCATAGCTCTGTAGTTTCCATATTTGTAAAAAATGATACTCCCTCCGTCCGTGAAAACTCTTTCTATTCTGACTTTTTTGGTCAAATAGTGACACTCATTAACGACAAATTGTGAGAAAAGTATATTAAATTATAATATAAATTTAATATGATTGGGTTCATCTTAGGATATAGTTTTGATATATCAAATTTTTATAACATTTGTTTATTTAGATTATGCTTAATTTGTGGTCAAAAAGTGTCACTGTTTGACCAAAAAAAGTCAAAACAGGAAGAGTTTTCAGGGACAGACGGAGTATAAGAGTTCATATAACAAATCTCACATTGTTTTATTTTTTCTCCAATAATTTCTCATTTTTGCATTAATTTAACTTATGAACCTGTTTCTTGAATGAGGGCTCACAAATTAATCTTGAACTTGGTGAAACTCTTACATTATTTAATAACATCTTAAGACATTTTAGTTTACTCTAATCATGCATTAATTTGGCTTCAAGTTACTTTTATCATCAGTATTACCTTATTACAGTTTACACAAAAGTGGCATGGCTATTATTTGGAAGTAGGTCGACAAAATATATAATGGGTTTGGTCAATTTTATTGTGCGTAAGTGTTTGAATTTAATATTTGTTTGGGTCAAGTAAAAGATCTGAAGTGTTTGATTTCATTCCCCATTGGATGTGTAACTACAATTAAGATGTAGGCAAAGAGGAAAAAAGAGACACTATTGCCTCATTAAGCAGATTAAATTGCTGCCAAAGAATGTAGATAAAAATTACCTTTCTTGAGTTGAAAATTTCAACTATGAAGTTTTTTTAAATATATGGCGTTAAAGCGAAGTCTCTAGATCTCCGTATATATTTGTTTCTCAAAAACACAAACCTGTTGTTGGAAGAGAATTGTGAGATATGTGCGTGTGTGTGTTTTAAGCCCACATTTGACCACCTATAGAGTACTTAAGTGCTATTAAATTCCAACTTAAATAGTGCACTTGTAGCGCACCACCTTGAAATAATTTGGTTTTTGTTTTATATTGAAAATGTTAACACATTGCTGTTCACTAAATACAATTTCTTGTTCATTGAAGGCTGGCTCAGAAGCACATGAAACTTATGAGACAATCACACATGTTGTAGGTTTTTGCAATGGTTTAAACAAACCACTTGATTTCTTTCCCATGTCAAATGGATTGGCAGAAGAAGCTGATTCACTCACACAACATATAGGTGACGTGAATGCGTATTCTGGTGGGATTCTCCAAACAGATATAATGGGACATGATAACATTGTGGCGTACATGCCTGGGAATCTGTCAAATCGATCTATTTTCCAAGCAGAAGAAGCTGATTCACTCACACAATATATAGGTGAAGTGAATGCATATTCTGGTGGGACTCTCCAAACAGATATTAAGGGACATGATACTGGTAACATTGTGGCGTACATGCCTGGGAATCTGTCAAATCAATCAATTGATCTATTTTCTATGCCTAATAGAACTGACAGTGCCGTGCAAGATGTTGGTGACACGCATGCATTCCCATCTTGGTTTTCTAATGGTTCGGTCATGACAAACGAGTCAATAAAAACAATGCCTGAGGCACATGAAACTGGTTCCTTGAAGGACAATTTGTCTTCGTATTCTGGGAGTGCCAGTCCTTCAGTCGGTTTGTTTACTGCATTGCATGGATCTGTTGATTTGTTTACGTCTGCAAATCCAATTACCAGCATTATGCATGAAAGCAAGGTTGAAAGCAATGATAAGTTGAGTGCTTGTACTCAAAACGATTTTATTGCAGATTCCAATGGGTCATCTGGAAAAAGAGACAGTAATGGTGATGACTTTGGAGAATTTACTTCCGCATTGTCTGATAGTGGTTCAAAGCGAGAGGTTTGTTTGGACACTTTGCAGAATTAGCTACTTTTATGTACATTAGCGCAGCCAGACTTGCTTTCTTTGAAATGTAGTGTTTTTTTTGTTATTTTAAAAAAGTTAACCCAACTACAAACTCTAGAACTTCAAATACTTGTGCTCTGAAGTTATTGGTACCAGATCTCGATAAACAGAAAACAGAAATCTAGAACAAGAACTTATTGGAAATCCTTCTCCAATTAATTGAAAAACTTTGAATGCATAAAATACAGAGAAACTATCCCTATTTATAGATGAGTTAACCTTGTCCACCAAGTTAAATCATCAGCCTTGCTCTCCAAGCATAACATCTCCTACTCCTACAAGCTATGATAATCTCAAATCCATCTGAGATATATCTCCTAAAATTATGACTGACTCTA